CGGCTGAGTAGGGGACAGGAGGGAGGCGCAAGGTGCAGCCGGGCGAGGGCGAGGGCTAGGGCTAGGGGGAAGGCTTGGTGTTGGCCGAGTGGGGGCGGAGCTCGCGCAGCCTCCGACTTTGGCGCCAACTGTTCATCCTCGGGGGCGGGAAGCGGTGACGTTGTGATCGCGGACGTGCCCTGCGTCTCCGCCCATTGGTCGGCGCTGCGTGCTGTCCCGCCCCGCTCCCGCCGCCCTGACCTGGCCTGCGGTTCGAGCGACAGCGGCAAGAGGCCGGTGCGGGGCGGGGCCGAGGCACAGACACCAACAGCAACCCGCCCTCGGGGCCTCACCTCCCCCTCGCGCTCCGCCGGTAGCACTGCGGCCGGAGCGAGCCTCGCTTTCCCGGGGGCGAGCCTCGCTTTCCCGCGGGGGCTCGCAGGGGCGGTGGGGCCTTCACCACAGCGGCCCCTGGGTGGGGACGGGGCGCCCGTGGTCCCGCCCGGGGGCGCCTGAAGACTTGGTCCGCAGCGCAGCCTGAGCCCCCTGCTCGCCTCACCTCACCTCTCCTTGCGGCGGGCACGTGGGCACACGAAGCAGCTCTTCTGCGAGGGGACGTGAGCGCATGGTGGTGAGACCTGCTGGACCCTCGGACAGGAGAAGGGTTGCATCCCCCAGTGCCAGGGACAGATGAGAGAGCTTCGGCCTGTTCAATTTGGAAACAGCAGTGCTGGAGGGGGATGCAATCAGGGTTTACTGCGAGAAAATACTAAGCAGAAAAGAAAGTCGTTTGGGGTTTGCTGTTTGCTGTCTCACACTGCGACAACAGGGGGTCACAAGAAGCCTGTCGGCACTAAGGGCGCCTGTAGACATGCCGGACGTCTGCTCTGATGCTCTGTAGCTACAGCGAGTTGCAGCCGACTCAGTTAATCGAGTCTGTTGGAACGCGCTAATTGGCACCCTCCAGTAGCCCCGTGCTTCAAAATGGCAGCAGGAGGCACTTTAAAGCTTGCTGAATGAGCACCCCTGCCACCATTTTGAAGTACAGGATGCTGAATACAGGAGATGCTGCAGGCACTTTAGAGTGACCCCCGAGAGCTGCTCCGACTGAAGCACTGCCTCGTGTTCCCGGAGCATGTGTAAAGATGCCCTAAGTTTAAAGATAACAAAAGGAAGTTTCTTTCCACGTGGCGTGTCACGAAAGTGTGGGTTGCTGCCACCAGCTGCTGTGGAAGATGACAGTTTATCCACGTTCAAAAAGGATTGGACAAACTCTTGGAAGAAAGGGGCACCAGTAGCTGTTGGACATGGGAGAGGGATAAAGCCTCTAAATCAAAACTTCCTAGGTCTTATATGCTGGAGGCTGCAAGTGGGAGAGGAACAGTGGAAGACAACCTTGGTCATACCCAATTCACTCTCCCTTTCTGCATCCACTCTCTGTTACTCTGACCCAGGCCTATTTGTCACCTTGAGGGTGCCACTTGGACACAGGATGCTGGGCAAGATGGACCTAGGGTCTGAGCCAGGAAATGGCAGATCTTATACCTGTGTGGTATTGAACAAAGCAGTTGCTCTTGCCTGTGGTAATATCAAATCAGAGGAAATGTAATCCAGATTGGCAGCTGGGGATGGGGATGATTTAACTTAATTTTTTGGACGTTCTTGTCAGGTAATATTGCAATCTCAAGCAGACTACGTGTCAGCAGTTTATTCTTAGGAAGTTTACTTAGTAATGATAAATGGGTTAAACAGTAGATTGTTTCTCACTTCAGAACTTTTGGGTTCTCCGTGTAGCCGTGCCCTACTTCTGTGACAGTTGCATGCTTACTTTTCTGGGCCACAGGTCTCTTAATTTTTCAGCCTGGCATCAAGCCCTGCTTGGCTTGCTGGCTGGTTTCATTAAAGACTGATGCTCCAAGTAAAAGCAAGTAGGGGTGCACCAATAGAGATTTTTGGGGCCAATACCGAAAGCTGATTTTTAAAGAGGCATATTGGCCAATACCAATCCCATTTCCGATACGCAGCCCGGCAGCTTGAAGAGTAGTGTCTGGTTGGTAAGTCTTGTAGTGGAAGAGAAGGGCCGTGGGGAGGGCAGATTGAGGCCCTTGCAGTATGGGAGGGGGAGTAGGGCAGGCACTGCCCAGCCAGGGTGGGATGCAGGACAGAGTCACGGCCCCTATGGGGTAGGGGCGGGGTGGATGGCTCCCGCCGCTGCATGCACCCCAGGAGGTATGGGGGATGTGTGACCCTGGATCTGCACGGGGCAGGCTGCTGCTGTGAGCTGAGTTTGTGTGTGGTTCTTCCCGGCAGTGGCTGGGCTGGGCTGGGCTGCACTGGGGTGGGAGGGTTGGAGCCACCCCAAAATTTGCTGTAGCCTTCCCAGCACTGCCGCTGCCTGCCCCGAGCACAGCCTGGCCTAGCCCCTTGCAGGAACAGCCCTGCACAGCCCTGGCCCTAGCCCACCCTGCCTCACGCAGATCTGAGGGCACATGCTGACCCCCCGTGCCCTCCTGGGGTGTGCACAGCAGTGGGAGCCCCGACATCGCCCAGATGAGCCACAACTCCATCCCACGCCCCACCTGGGTGAGCAGCTCCTACCCCAGCCCCGCTCCCTCCCTCACTGCAGGGGCCTTGATCTACCCTCCACTCCTACCACAGCAGACTTATCAGCTGGATGCAGCTCTCCATGCTGCTGGGCTCTGCTCCTTACCACCTACGTGCTGCACTGCAGCTGCACACTTGTACAGGGCATTTATTGGCCACATCAGCCCGATTTTTTTTCAGTACAGTCAATTTTCTGTATATTGGTGCCAATCTGATATCGAACCGATGTATCGGTTCACTTCTAAAGTAAGCCATGCTTCAAGATGCCTTTAGCTTATGATACTGTTTTGAAATTGTCTGGTAACCTGTTTTGCTTTTCATTTTTTACACTTGCAGATGGAGAAGCCATAGGGAACAGTATCATGGCAACAGATTATGATAATGGACTAGGACTACTTGATAACCTTTATGATGGTAAGACTTTCTATTGAATAGGTTGTTATCTTTATTTTCCAAGGAGGTAAATCATCTGTGTTACATACACAGAAGGCAAGGTAGAGATGAACCTTGTGGGTTAACTCAATATGGTGCATCTATACCCTGCCTTCTGCCTGATTTAAAACTTATACAGCTAACTCCCTTTCTGTGTTGCATATTCAGTGAGAATATGATGGTTAAAAATAGCCAAATTTGTTTCTAAAGGTCAGTTTAACTCAATTTGGGACAAAAAATCATTATGTTTAATGATAATCCTATGGCTGTAGGCTAACTTCAGTATCGGCCAAAGTTAAGGTTGTTTAGATGTCTTAAAACTGTGGTCACCAACCAGTCGATCATGGAGCCTCGGAAAGTCGATCTGGGGCTTCAGGTGCTGAGCACATGCATGCACACGCCCAGCTACCTCCAGCCAGCAGGTCAGTCTGTGTGGGAGGGAGGAAGCAGGGGCCAGATCAAGGCCCCCACAGTGAGGGAGGCACAGGCAGGAGCAGGGGCTGAGGTGAGTGGGGTCCCAGCTGAGCCAGGTGGTGGGAGGATGGTAGCCTGCACAACTTGGGGCTGCTGGGGGCTCCTGTCAATGTGTGCACCCCAGTAGAGGCCCAGGGGGCACATGCTCCTTCTATTTGTGTGTGGGGTGAAGGTGGCTTCCGCTGCGCACTGGGGTTTTGTGCCCCAAGCCCCACTGCAGCTGCCCCAGGAGCAGCATGATGTCATATGCATCCTGCCACCAGGTGGACAGGGGGTGAACATCAGCCCAGCAGCAGAACACAGTGGTGTCAGGTTGCTCCCTGGGCAGCTGCAGCGGGGCTCAGGGTGCAGAGCCCAGCACAGTGGCAGCCGCCTCTGCCCTGTGCACAGATCGGGCATGTGCTCCCCAAACATGGCTGCAGCAGCAGTGAGGGAGAGAGTGGGGCTGGGGCAGGTGCTGCACAGCCGGGGCAGGCAGGCCGTGGGACAGAGCCGCAAGTGGCTTGTCCAGGGGGTGTGGGGAGGTTGGGGTATGCACCCCGGGAGGGCTTTGGGGGGGGGGGGCCCCCAGATTTACATGTGGAGCAGGGTGAGCTGCGGGCTGGGGCAGTGCCAGGCTCTTCCTGGCAGGGGCCGGACTGGGCTGTGCTCAGGGTAGGTGGTGGCACTGGGAGGGAGACTATGGGGGCAGGGGGCAGAGGTGGGTGCCGCTGCGCTTTGCTCCTTGCTGCAGCTGCCCCATACCCCTTGCCTTCCCAGCAGCGGGACACATGGCGTCACATGGCTCTTGGGGCAGCGGGGCTCAAAGCCCAGCACACAGCCACAGCCACCTCTGCTCCATGCACTGATCAGGGGGGCATGTGACCCCCGGGTGGCCACTTGTCCCACCACTTGGCCCGGCTGGGGCCCCACTCACCCCAGCCCCTGCTCCTGCCTGTGCCCTGCTCCCTCACTTACTTGCTGCTGGGGCCTCAATCTGCGCCCCCCACCCCCTGCCAGCGCTTTCCCTTCCCCCATCCCTTCCCCCACAGAGTTACCTTTTTGAACTGAAGTCCAACCCAGGATCTACCATGCTCAGCCCCCACAAATAATTTTTTTCTCCCTCCTTTGATCTGCCCCCGCCTCCCCTTCCTTCCCCACAGACTGACCTGCTGGGGTGGTCACGCTTGAAAGATCCTGGGTTGAACTTTAATTCAAAAAGTGATCTTGTACTTAAAAAGGTTGGAGACCACTGTCTTAAAGTAGTCCAAACATGCTATCTGTAACCATAAGTGAATGTCCTGGTTTTGTACTGCCTGACTTTGAGGATCCTAGGAATGTTACAGTAATGTTTTACTATTTTAAATTAAAAATTATACAGTGGATTGTAATTCTTCCTCAGTATAGGGAGTATTCTGAAAACTTTGGTTAACACACTAAGTACTGCTTTACAGTAGCAATAACTGCATGCTGTAGAATGTAAAGGTTTAGGAAAGGGTAAATACTCAGAGGCTTGAGTTGAAATGTTTAAATGAAGAGATGTTGGAAAAGTTTGGCATTTTTAACTTTTGAGAGAAAATGAATAAAAATATGTATGTTTGTTTATAACGTACTAGTCAACAATCACATACATGAGCTTTTTAACTGATGTACAGACTGCTTTACTACATTTCTTACCTGTTTACTATAAAAAACAAAGTAGAAATAATTTTTTTTTTGTTGCATGATGCTGTAACAAAAGCATACTTTCTGCAAACTTTCAGAGTGGGCTATAAACAGTTTCCCATTCCAATTTACCTTTTCTACTTGTAGGTAGGTAAATTGAATGTCAAACAGCTTCTTTCAGGTCTTGTAGGACTTTAGAACTTCCTTTAGAACTTCCTATATGAGAGAGTTCCTTTCTCATATAAATAGAAGCTTACCGCAGTATCCATGGCCAAAATGTTCCTGTCTTCCACCATTGTGAAGTCTCAACTTGTCATTCATCATCTCAGGAGCTGTAGTTTATTAACAGTGTGTGCACAGCTGTGAAACTCCTGGAGATGAAAGATGCAAGAAAATATATGTTAGGTAGTGTCTGTTATAATGTGAAATGCACACTTTAATGAAGAGAGAAGAGGTTGAAGCTTACAAAAATGTAACGATACTTATTTTGGTCTTATCTTGCTTTATTTTAAGATTCCCCTTTTAGGGATGAAGATGAGAGCTCTGTGGATATTTATGATGGGTTGGACAATACTTCAGCTGTTCCTGGTAGGTTGACAGTCAAATGTGGTATAGCCCAGGAGGCTCCTTCCAGTTTTGGGTTTCTTTGTGTTCATTTTGGTGCATGTGATATTCTGTTATATGAGGATACTTGATGGCAGGGTAGATATTCTGATTTCAGACAAATGTAGCTAGCTAACTTTATACTTGAGAGAGGTCTGTTCTACTGCTGCCTAGATCAGTTTTAAAACGTGTATTTAGTGTGCATTGTGACATAGTTGTGCTATATATATATTTGATGGTGATCTCTTATTTTGAATTAAATATCCAGTTAGGTTTTTTTGTGGTGAAAAAAAAGGTAAGATTTTTGGAACTTGTAAACCATACCACCAAAATAGATGTCTTTTAGCACTAGTCAGTTTTAACAGATTTGGTGCATGTGTGCTTTTCTTCAGATTTGTTTTACACATGGGCAGCTAGTGCCACCTTAGTCAGGGGGGGCATGTGGGGTCTCCCTGTGGCCAATCGCGCCAACCAGGGGAGGTGGGGGGTGCCCCCGCAGCCAATCACGTGGCAAAATGTACCAGCCAGTGAGCAGCCATGCTGCTGAAAGCGGCTGCGGTGCTTCCGGGAGCGGCCACAGTGTACATCCAGCACTTGCACTCCCCAGCCAGCGCTTGAAGGGGGGGCACCGGTGTTCCTGCCTGCCTGTCGCCTGAGCGGGGAGCATGCCCTGGCAGGGTGCACCGGTGCTCTCAGGAGGTGCACATGCACCCCTAAGTGTCGCTGCTGGTTTTACGGTTGATTAAAATCAGTCTGTAAAAGTGTGGGTTTGACAATTAATATGTACAGTTACAAGAGTATAAAAGCTCTCTAAGTAGTTGATTGTAAACTGACTTTAAAAAAAGATGCACATAGAAGTAATTAATGCAACGTGGACATCTTAGAAATAACATTATTTTCAATATAGCATAGGTCTCAGGATTTTTTTTTGTTTAATTTCCTTTTTAATGTTAAAAAATACTCATCAGAGCAATCCTACAGGCAAATAAAATGGCATTTGCCTGACTGTCTGTATCACATGACTTGTTATTTTTTGTTTGATGGTGTCGTTAAATTACCTCACTCAAGGATTATGGGGTATCATTGTGTGGGTGTTGTCCTTACAAATAACAAGGTAATCTCTACCCTGACAACTCCTGATCTAGGCATTTGAATAGGAAGTGAAAAGTGAACAAAAGAAACAAGTTGAGGGAGTGTACTGAGGTCTACACGGTCTGTAATTCTGCATTTTCGTGCTTGTTCATGTAGCAAAATGCAGTGCTGTGCAGCTATACCCCAAGGTAACTGTGAACGTGCTAACTTGTGTACCAGTGTCTTTACAAATATGTGGCTGTGCCATGCAGATACCTAACTTACTTTCACACACGATAATCTTACTTTCACACGATAATTCCAAAACAGTATAGTTGCATTAGTTTACATCTGTGTCTGGACTATTAAACCTAGCTTCCCAGCAGAGCTAATTGCGCCAGGCACAATGCTGCTGTAAATGTGGCTTATGCTGCTTCCAGTTCTATAAGTAGCGCATGCAGAGTCAGCTGGGGTATCACTCTTTAGCTTTGTGTTTCACTGTATGGATATAGCGTTAGTAGAACTGAAGCAAATGAGTCCAGACTTGGGAGGAATCCTAAAACAACACAACTGGAATATTTACCAGTTATGTTGTGAATTTCTCTTGTTTTAAAAAGTTCAGTACCCAACTCTGTAATCAAGCTGTTACCTTCTCCCTTTCTGACTGAGTGGGCACACTATCTCTATTTATGAGTGTGTATTTCCTGAATATCAGAGGCAAGTATTTCTTGTTTGCTGGGTCTCTGCCTCAGGAATTTCTCCAGCTAGAAACAGTATGAAAACTGAAGCTGGTTACATGTTCTGTCAATTGCAAGACGAGCATCTTTGTTCTGACTTTCCATTAATTACTGACTAGATCCTGGAAATGTCCAAAAATTTGCCCCTTTTTGTGCTTTTAATTATATTTACCTTTTGGTGAGAAGTATTTAATATTAGAAAATCCTATAAGTGTACCCAGATTCAGTTGGGGATTGGTTTTTCTGTAAGTCTGTAAACCAAAACATTAGCAACTAAATGTAGAACTAAATTTTCTTCCTTAACTTTTACCTCAGTGTTTAAAAAAAACAAACAACTTAATATAAACATTGAAATTGAAGACCTAGAAGAATGTGAGTGATTGTGTTTAATTGTATGACATAAGACTTAAACTGCATAGGATACACCACTTAGATCACGCCTTCTTTTATATAAGGGGCATATCTTGTTTCAGATAATCCTATTCAACTGTCTTCACCAACCAAAAACTGTTTAAACTTGTTTGATGAGATCCTGATTGAAGAAGGAACTGCGAAGGAAGCATCTTATAATGATGTATGTATTGATTTGACTACTGTTAATGTTGGAAAGGGGAGAGGGGAAGGCAGGGAGAGTTGCATGCCCTGGAACTTGGAATGTCAAATTGTTATAAAATAGTGGCCAAACTACAATGAAAAGTATGATAATTTTCAAGCAGACAGACCTACACTTTATCTTCATTTTATCTTCATTTCTATGAGTATGTAAGGAAATTGGTCCCCTGCTTCAAATTTTAATACTTCATTTTTCTGTTAATCTATGTAGTGCTGAAATGAGACTATCCTTTAGCATTTTAGTTACCCTCCTAATTACATTATGAAGAAATCCTTTCACTGATTATGGAGGGAGAATCCTTCTATAATTGAGGTTTTGATTAGCTTTTTTATATAAACCCAGTCTCAAAATTGTTGTTAATTTTGCCAAACTTTAGACATTTCAGGTGGAGAAGTTTTAAGTGTAGGAAGAGAAGAAAACTTGGGCAGTTGTGTATATAAACATAAATCCAATAATTTTTTTTACCTGATGATATTCTGGTGTTAGGAAGGAACTTATTAACTGCTCCTGTATGTATGTAGGCTTTTCACATATGAATCTTTTATCTGTTAACCCATAATTTTTTTTGTATAATAATGGATTCACTATAAATTGACTTATCTATTTTATAGTTGCAGGCAGAGTATGGAAAATGTCAAGAGCAGATTAAAGAGTTGATGAAGAAGTTTAAGGAAATACAGACACAGGTACTTTCTCAGGGGTATATTTGAGACTTGCTGATAAGAATTCAATTTTAAATACTTTGTTAAAATTTATCTTTGTCAATAACTTACATAGGAAATTACTCTAAATCTGTACTATGTCACTTGTTACCCCATTGCCCCATGACAAATAGTGACAATTCATGTACTAGATGAATATGCTCGTGTTTCTGAAGTTACATGCAATGTATAGGTTAGTTTATTAGAAATCTATGTTTTAAAATATAAGTGTGTCAAACTGGCTGCTTCTGGAAAGCTGTACATCTCTTTTGATAATCTTTACATTTTTAATTTTTAGTGTCATGATCTAAGAAGTCATTTAAGATTAGTTGCTCATGAAGAAAGGATCTTAAAGCAGCAAGTAAAATCCAGGTGCATTGTGGTGCTAAGCACTTAGATTAGGCTAATTCTAATGAGAGGTGATGCCTTAAAATTGGTTCCTACATCATTCATTTTCTCTTTTGCTGAAAAGAATCTCATACCCACAACAGTAACTGTTCTGTCGTAAGCAATAATGCTGTCCAGGAGAGAGTGACTACAATAAAATAGGAGTAAAATGAGAATACAATCTCTCAAAATTTTTATCGTGTTTCATAGCACCCAAGAGTGCTAGGCAAATCACAAAAGACAAAGTTAGCTTTTTTGCTGCAAAGAGTTTACAAGTTAAATCTTACAGTTCACATGGCAGTGAAAACAAGCAGCCATAGAAGGGATGATGCAAGAAAGGAAGATGGGAGTTAGGAATACAGCTGAATGGGTACTCAGTTTAAGACATGTTTCATTGTTAGTGACTGGTACATTAAAATAATTTTTAGAAGGAAGAGAAATTGGAGGGAAAATTTGACTTCTATAGGAAATATATCAACCAAGAGGCCATTTATTCACTTTGACGTCTACGTAATTTTCAGTATGTTTTTAGTACGTTTTTACGTACTAACGTCCTTCTAATTGCTTTCTCATGTTGGCTTTACTTGTGTACCTGGGTGAATATTTGTAAGGATAATTCTGTATCTTTTCTTTTCCTTCAAGTAGAACAGCGTTCTACAAAATGAAAATCAGGCCCTTAAAAAGAATATTTCAGCACTTATCAAAACAGCCAGAGTGGAAATTAATCGCAAGGATGAGGAAATCAGTAACCTTCACCAAAGGTATCAGTAGACTAAGCTAATTTATAACTTCCTTTTTGCCTGACCATAAGTTTACATCCATTACATGCTGCGAGCATATTTTAAATTGGCAAGAGGAAAAATCAGACATTGGTATATATTTGCATACTTAACTAATTTTAGTATACTAACATGAAATGCATATGTAACTCTTTGTCTTAAATGCCAGCTTGACATCTTGAGGATTCTACCTAGTAGCTGACCAAGTGCTCATCCACATTTTTGAGCCATATTTTTTAACTTGCTGCATAATCTGGTCAGCCCTCATTTGTTTCAGTGCAGTAAGTATTTCATCCATGTTTCAGCTTCAGAGTAACCTAATTTATCAGTTCAGAATGTAGTTTTATAAATCCTGTGGATTTTTGCTAGTCTTTTAGCCAGGTATTAGAGCTCTATTTCTGCTGTTATTGGTAGAGAGCTCTGTGAATTTAGCAACTTGTCATACTCTGGTTGTCCAAGCTTGGGAAGTTAAAAGTATTGATGTATAGAATGGACAGCAATTTGCTGTAACTTTTGTTGACTCTTGAGGTTGAGGCATTGGACTGGGACTTAAATCATATAAGTTAAACTCTTGTCTCTCTTGCTCACTTCCTGTGTGATAAGGTTACTTAGTTTATTTGTTCTTCCATTAGGAAAAAGAAGGTAAGATGATGTTATTTACATCTCAAAATCTTGCAAGGAAAAAACTCACTATGACATAAGTAGATGATTTGCAGTGCTGGAGGTGATGAGCATCTAGCCTATGCAATAGTCTTTCTTCCCTAAAGAAGATTATTAGAAGCGCTATGAATGAGGTGGAGAGGTTAAATTGTTTGTACAGGCAACCCCTGCTTTAACACTCCTAATTGGTTCCTGAAAAACTGAGCATTAAGCAAAACCGAAAGTATTTGATGACCCAAGATGGTGACCACAAGTGTTTTTAATAACCCAAGACGGCGACTGCGAGTGTTATAAAAAAACAAAACAAAAACGAGTGATATGTGGAATCAGGTATCAATTTAAAATGAGCGTTATAGCGAAATAGTGCTAAGCAAAACAGTGTTAAGCAGGGGCAGCCTGTAATCCTAATTGCCATGAGGTACTGTCTTTCTGAATATACTTGAGTAGTATGCCATTTGATAAACAGAGGAAGGCAGGTCTTTGTTAGTTCTTTCACTTGGTTGCTATGACCGGTTAGCAGTTTTCTTCATAACTTTGAGCTGAATATATTAGCCCTCAATAATTCTTTCTTTTTTTTTTTTATTCAAAAGTTTTCATTTATTTTGAAAAATACTTTTAAACTCTACTGCTATAAGTCCTAAAAGATAATAGCAACTTCCAGCTTTTACTGTTGCCTTTCAAGTCAACTATCAGAAACTCTAGGGGTAATCCCCCAGGCTCTCTGTGTTGCTAGTTGAGTCATAAACTGAAGGTAATAATTTAAAAATCATCTTTTGATCAATCATTAAAATTCTGTTCTCATTTTAGGGTGTTTTGCAAGGACTTTGTCCGGAGTTAATAGAGAAGGAGGTAGAGGCACTGCTGTAATCGTCTTGACAGTAAAATTTTGGGCAAATATTTAATAAGAGCAATTTAATTTATACTGCAGCTGAAGTGTGTCTTCAGAGAAAAATCTCTTGGTTGAGGTGTTGCATATATTGCAAACTACTGTATATTTGGATGCTATGGTGATGAATTCAGGACAAGGGCATGACTAGAATTAAACTATTCTGAAATTCCTGTAACAACACAGTCTTAGCCCTATGACCAAAAATCTTTAGCAATGGCAGATCTGTGAAGGCAGGAGTAATCATTTTTTAATCATAAGAGAAATCTGTACAAGAATCACCATTTCATTTATTTATTACAAAATTATCACAGATTCTGATATTAAGCATACTGGCTGTGTGCATCGGGCACTTTACATAAATGCTGAGTGAAAGCTAAATGGAGGATTCTTCATCTGTGATTTCCTAAAAATTACTTGGATACCGTCATGTTTGCATTGCATGTAAGCATTCATGTGATTTTTAATTGCTAGGCTACCTAACTTTCATAGTCCTTAGCTCTTGGAGGAAATGCTATTCTCTTTGACATGTTTCTCTACTGTATTAGGACATAGATTTTCTGCAATTAAAACAAGTCCAGACATAAATGCACAAAAATTATAGACTTGATGGACCTGTAGGTGAATGGCTCAAATACTTCAGAGTCCCATCAGGCTGCTCTCACTTGGCCTGAAAAGAGACTGTATTTTGGTAGGCTGGTGGTTCTCAAAGCACCTCTTCGTAACTTTCGTGAATTGATATTACCCTGTTTCAAACACTAACTTATTTATTATAATGCTTACCTTGTTTCAGAGGAGTCAAGTGGGGGTGGGTGCAAGAACGGCCAAGCAGAGAATAGCCTGAGCCTGCACTTATCTGCTTGTCTCCTCACACTTTGTGGCACCCTTCAAAGTGTCTTGCTGCACTACAGAGAGCCCGGAAACCTGGTTGAGAGTCACTGTAGCAGAGTTAGGTTTCATGTATAGTGGGAATAAAAAATATTTATGTTCATATGTTTAACATAAAAATATGAAAAGTTAGAATTTTTACTTAACCTGAAATAATTTTTTACATGGACTCTTGTCTGACTTTGTCTCAGACCAGGTTTTTCACTTAAATAAAAATGAGGACAAAAATAAATGCCAGCACAAAGCAAAAGTTAGGCACATGTGCAAAGAATAAAAGTGAGAAACACTTGCAAAATAGTTCAAAATGAAAACAAAACAAAAAAAAAAATGGAAGGAGGTTTTGGGGAAATAGCTTCAGATAACCACAATAACTTTTTTTTCCTAAAATTCAGTTTCCTTAAAAAAAACCATACCCCATGCTCTGGGAAAAAGTATATAACATATTTACTTGCATCTAAGATTAGGTGTGTGTCGTGTCGTGTCGTGTGTGTGTCCCCAATCAGCACTGGCAGGGGAAAGCCCCTCATTAAAGTTGCATACAAAGTAGAGGGGGCTGCAGGTGGCTGCCATGGCTCTGATTCAAGCCCTGAGCTCAGGTCAGGGCCAGAGTCAGACCCATAGCAGCCTTCTGCTGCCCTGTGCTTGCCCTCTGCAGTGTCTGGCTCTTGCCTCCTCCTTCCTCTTACTCTCAGGCACTGCTTTCCCTAGTGTAGCAGTAGGGGATGAATTTAAGACCACCCTCCAATAATTTGATTCTATATCTGGAAAAATTGCAATAAATTTACACATTTTCTATATATAGAATCTAATGGCAGGGGGAGATCTTCTTAAATTCACTTTCTCTTTGAGAGGAATACACTTGTTTCTCTTCTGGTTCCCTACAAATTTGTTCTTGACCTGGAAATAATGCTTTAATTCAGTTTCTAGTTAGACTCTCTGAAAATGGACATCCTGCCAGTAGGTCCATGTTACTGTTGGAGCGCTTTTATAAGTGCCCTTTAGAATTAGTTGCAAGAGGTTAAGAAACTTGGCTTTACTTTCAGCCATGCCTTTTTCGTGGAGTGCCACGTATTGGTTGTGGCACAAAAGTATGTGTCTTTAGCTAGGTATTTTAATTGTGACCTTTTAACAAGTGCAATCTGCACAGGCTATGCATTTGTTTTTCTGTTGATGACTTTCCAGCCATAGCACATGACCTAGATAAGGCTCAGTTATTGTAATTTACTACTTGTTTTTCATTGCTTGCCATATGTTCCAAATATCATAGCTCAATAGTGCTCAACCTTTTTCTCTGGCGGGCTAGATCCTGCTGATGGTCCTAATCTGGCATCCTAGCCTGGGCAGTTGGCACCATCTGGCCACATAGAGGAGGACACAGGACATCCTAGCCACAACCCAGCCCACTGTGGATGTGGCCTGGCCCTCCAATCCCGATGTGACCAGCAGTGTGGGTGTTGGGGTTTGGGAATTTTGTGTGGGGAAACTGACTATATTAATGGCCACTACTTCCCCACTGCCAAATTTCCTGCCCCATGGGGCAGATGTGATGGCTTCATGGGCTGCATTTGGCCTGTGGGCCAAAGATTGAGCACTTCTGCAATAGCTTACTTATTTGTTGCTCTGACCAAGTGTGATCATAATACACCTCTGCTATGTGCAGAATAATATATTTGTTGAGTTCTCTCTGACATTTTACTTTTATATGTGTATGTACATCTTAGGGCTAAATCTATTTGATACAGCCTCTCTTGCCTGGCCCTGGTGCTTATAACTTTTCAGTGCTTGGCAATGAAATGGTCATTTCAAAGAACAAAACCGATACTTAGAACAGATGGGAGATTTCACCACAAAATCTGTTTTTGTGGGGACAAGTAGATTGACTATGTCCTTTTCTTTTAAATTTCTAGACATTCATTTAGTAAAAAGTATATTTTTAAATATACATTTTAGCCAAACCATCTTTTAGACTGAGCATTCAGAAAGTGCATCAAAGATGTGAGTTGTGAATTATGAAAGGTCAAGGAACTTAGGGTATTGACTTTCATATTTTATTCTGCAAAACAAATGTTGTAATACAGGAATCTTTTCCAGAAACATTAAGCTTTGTTATCCTGTAATTATTAATATAAACAAATATTTAAGAACAAACCAAGGTTTCATTTGACTTTTTGCTTTAGTTAAATTTAAATAATATTTGAAACTAATATATCTTTCTGTTCACAAACAGGCTTTCAGAATTTCCAAATCATCGAAGTAACTACACTAGAACGTACCTTCCAGGATCTACTAATGGAAGGTGCTCAGACACGTATAAATCAAAAGATTCTAATTTCAGAGCTGCTTCAGTTGATAGTACAAGGTCAGATCATAAACTGAAAAATGACTGTTCTAAAGATGCACATCACAATTATTCACCTCACAATTCAGAGAACGAAAAACTATATTCAGAAAAAAGAACTACACCATATTTACTCAGATATCCTTCAGATGAGCATTGCAGTGATGGTGCCCGTACACATCCTCCAAACTCTGAACACTGTTCTGACAAGGATAATACGTGGGGAAGAAAGGAAGTGAAAAATGGTGAACAGTATAGCAGGGGAAATGACAACAGACACAAAAGAGATGCATACCAGAACACTAGTAATGGTACAGATAGTGAACAAGGGAATGCAGATTCTCATTGGAAGTTGCAAATGCTTTCAGAGAAATCAGATAAAAATGAGTTGCAGCAAGAAAGTAAGAACACAAAGCTCAAATCTAGTCCAGCCACAGAAAACCGAACAGATAGGTATACTACTTGGGAGAAACAAGCCACCCCTAAGGAGAGATCTCAAACAAGAGTTGAATCTCATGGTGATATAAGAAGTGAAAGGTCACAAAATATGAATAGAAAGGACCTTAAAACATATGATAAAGATGAAAAAAACTTTGGACAGAAAAATAAGTCAGTTGAAAAGCAAAAAGAACCACCAAGGAAGTTTGCTCGAGGCAATAGTCCACACTCAAGGAGTGAAACTTCAAGGAGCTCACACAAATCAAGTAAATGCCACACGGAAGACTGTAAAAGAGGAAGGGAGACGGATTGCAAGAGAGAGAGGGGAACAAGTGATCATAATTCTCGAGAAGGAAGATCCCCACTTTCTACTTCCAGCAGCAGAGAACACAAATTCTCACACTCCAAGGAAAGTAGCCGGAGACATGAATGGGAAACGCATTCAAAATCTGAGAGACATCGTACTGAAGAGAGAAGAAAAAGGGAGAAAGAAAGTCAGGAAGAAAGCAGACATTCTAGAAGTGAAAGAAAAGTAACAAAAGAGGTTTCACATGAGCCTTCAAAAGAATACAAGAAAGCTACAGATGCTACAAGAAACGAGAGAAATAAATTGCCTAGAGCAGAAGAAACATCCAAAGTTGCAGATGGCTTAAAAGAGCAAATAGATGCAAGTAAAGAGAATCAAATTGAGAGAAAAAACAAAGACCTAAAGCTGAGTTTTATGGAAAAGCTAAACTTAACTCTTTCTCCTGCTAAAAAACAGTGTCTCTGTCAAACAGATGTACTTGAAACAGATTCCAAAAAGGTCAGTGATGAATGTAGTACAGAGACCCCAGTACAAGCAGAAAATCCTGTATTTGTCCAGTCTAGTAGTATTGATTCAACAGAGCAGACCAAGTCACCATTACAGGCTCCAGACAATACAGTTCTAACAAATTTGGAACCAGTGGCACCTGTTTCTGAGTTCAGAGAGAAAATTGAAAGTGAGACTTTAACAGAAACCCTGGAAGTGGTAGAATCTGAGGCTTTGGCAGAAACTCTGGAGGGGATTGAGTCTGAATTACCTGTTGGTGATACAGTGACCTTGCCTGAGTCTGGAATAAGGATGGAGGAGACAGATAAAATGTGCACAGCTCCTGATTTAGAGATCTGCGTAGATCAAAATCGACCTGAGAACATTCCTTTGGATGAGTTGGAGACCATAACCTCTGATAATATGGAGTCTCTCAGTGTTGCAGAGAATAGAGAAATGAAATCAGACTCCTTAATGGAGGTCATGAATGTGAGTGAACATTTGTCTGGTGAAAGTTTTGCGTGTCCTGCTGAGGAAGACAGCATCTCAAAATCTGTACGGTACAAGAATGATATAAATAAATCTGAGCCATTTGATGGTGATGTTCCAGTAATTGACCAAAATACTTGTAACCTGGACCCAAATTTATGTGAAACAGATGTAGGTGTAATTGCATCTTCTGTTGGTGAGGAGATGGATCCTAAAATTCAAGAAAGAGAAATCAATCCAGTTTCTGCTGAAGATGAGAGTTCAATACTGAGCATTGATCTCAATCACCTGAGGTATATTCCAAAGGCAATCAGCCCACTGAGCAGTCCTATGCGACCCTTGGCTAAAGCACTTAAGATGGAAAGTCCTTGCAAAGGACTTGTGAAAAGCTGTAATAAAGGTATTCGTATCTATTTTTGTCTAAGTTCTTTGCTTGAATATCTAAAATAATGCATTAATGGAAAGTATAATTAAGCTTTTCTTAGATTTAAATCCTGAGAATATATTTCTTTTTGAGCTGTCACAGGCTTTTTCCTTTCCATCTGTCCCCTTTGCATGTGTACTTCATACTGGAGTCTTTGCAAAATGAAACACCTGTAGCCAATTAGACATTAATGCTTATGAGTCTACACTCATGTGCAACTAGAATTTTAGTTGAAAGAAACTGATACATAAAAATTGATGTTATATTTTGGTGATCATCTTAACTTTGATTCTACAAGGTATATGTGCAGGTTCTTTCATTATGTAACAGTGCGTTTGTGTGTTTCTTTGCATGTATTTTCATTAATGTTTTCTAACAGATTTAAACTATTTTAAATGAAGGATGAAAGCAAATTAAATTATGGAATTCTTACTAGTAAATCTATGACCCCTTTTAGATTTCTGTGGCTTCTCATGTTCCGAGATCTTACTGCTCTCTTAAGTATTTTCGAAGGAGGCCTCCCAAAAGCCAAGTATGTAGGGCATAAATAGTAAGTAATACCTAGAGCTAGTTGAAAGTTTTT